CCATGTGGCGACAGTAATATAATGTTATCAAGTAGGATTGTTATTGAGTAATGTTATTCGGATAATGTTGTTTCCAATTATCATGCTTATGCAAGGATATACACTGAACAGAACGGAAAACGCACCACCATGAACATGGATGTATTTTTATCCGGGGTTAAGTCATATGAAAGTATGAGTAAAGTGAATGAGTAATATACATAATTGCCTCATCATTAATGAAATGGACGTGCATCATATGCCGTATTTTGCTTAATTTCTACGAACGATTCTGTACGAGTCACATGTTTCATCCGACTTGAATGTTGAATATGCCCGAACGTCAGCTTAGCCTTTGTTGATCGTGGAAGAGACATTGCATGGCTTCAGGACGGTCTAAGTCAGAGAAATGTTGCCAAAGAATCGGTTGTAGCCAAAGTGTGCTTGGTAGACTGTGGCAAAGATTTCAAGTGACCAATTCCAGTCAGAATCGCCCTCAACGTGAAGACCGGTATGTCACAAACCTGGCATTGCGTCAACGAACTGTCACAGCAAGACATCTCAGAGATGAACTGCGCCTTGCAACAGGAACCCAGGTTTCAGACCAGACAATCCGAAACGGACTACGGGCCAACAACATCCAATCACGCAGTTCGGCCACCTCTCCTGCAACATCATAGAGCACATGCAGAATGGTGTATGCGTCACAGACGCTGGACATGTCTGAATGAGAGTGGTCTTCAGAGACGAATCCCGGTTTGCACTGCAGTTCAACGATGCCAGGATTCGCGTCTATCGTTTGCTGACGTCAACGTCAGACAACCTCACAGATATGGTGGAGGCTCAGTGATGGTGTGGGCCAGCCTCGTAACAAGAAGACGTGCATGCAGAAACCGCACACTAAGCCAACAGCGCGTGTTATTTGAGACCATATGGAATCAATATATAATTATACGAATTACAGAAACACCAAACATTATAACATAGTGTCGTAACTGCCTTTGGGCGTCCAGTGCGACCCTGCTACAGTTACTAAATGTATTGCCGTTCCTGGTCCTTGTGGTCAATTTAAGCCATGACATTGCCTTCGGCTTGTCCACCACGGCTCGGCTCCGTCAAGGAGTGCTTGTTTAATGACACTTACTCCAAGTTGTCTCTATCAGCATTCACACACGCATAATAAAGAAACGCAACACCAGTTTGTACTCACATAGTTTTACTTACTCTCAGCCCATCTATCAATACAGGACAGGATCAGACTGGCCAGGCTCGTCACTAGCTGGGGGAAACTTAGAACGATCGGGATTCGACTCGATCGATTGCAAACCGCGCTCTCCTCTCCTAATGTTGAGGGTATCATTTTATAGTGTTCGAGCCTGGCCTGTCCTTGTCACATGTCTCAATACCTCCATTTGATTCGTTACAAGTTAGATCTGACCATGAACTCATGTGTGTCGTAATCGGAAAAATACCAGAGCCTACGTGTCATATTGCTCATCTCTCTATTGATTTTGTGACACGCGTCCGGAAGCTCCAAATGAATTATGCCTCGAAACTCCCCCTTTGTTTCATTAACTCATGAACGATAGCCAGAAACCAATCCAATGATAAATGTGAAATGTCCAGAATACACTTGTGATAAATGTGAAATGTCTTTTCTCTATTGATTCCTTTCAAACTAAAAGTTCTGTCTCAAACTATATCTAATGCAACTCCTCATTGCAGCTATAATGGTTCTATTTGTTATCATTAGTTTCTGAGATGCATTTTTAACCTGATAACAATAGCATAGCATAACACACAGGCGTTTCGACGAATTATAGTACATATACTTGCAAGCATCACAAATGTACACATAATTAAAAATATCAGGCTATGAGCGGAGTTATTTGTTCAAACTGATAAAGAGAGCTTGCTTGATCTGTCTGGGGATCTCTTCCCTTCAGTTTAAGAGATTAAGAGGCGTCGTCCCTTTTCCTGCAATGGTGGCGTCCTCTAGCGAGTGGGCGAGAGTTCAAACCAAGGTAGATAACAGCTGTCCACAGAACATGGGCGCCAGGTGTGATATTAACAATCTGCATGTTTTTTCATCTAATCGCATGCGAGTGTTTGAGGCAGTTTTGGGACTTTCGTCTTTCCAAGCCACTACACACTATAACCATGGGATTAAATATAGGAAGCGATCCATCGTCCACCGAGTGTTGTGTAACACTGATGACGTGTCGTCTGTCGAGCAATATGTGACTCGGTATATTTACACAAGCAATCGGCGGCAATGGGAAAGGTCGCTTGATAAGTTTTCACGCCTGATTTCCTTCAGAATGTAATGGAGTAGGACATCTGTACGAAACCACGATCATTTTGACAAGAAACGTACAAAATGACTCCCTATCGCTTCCCTTGACCACAGTTTCGTCATTCAGCTACACCCAGGTGTACTGTTATGAGGACATAGTGACCAAGCAACTTCTGTGTTAATACCTTTCCGCGAAGCGGTGTGTTTGGGCGAATGCTTTTCCAACCAGAAACGGGTTCAGGTTCACTCAATCGTGAAATAAATCAACGTGTAAACATCGATTCTTACCTCAGAAGTTTTATTATATGATTCAAACATATAAGAATACATCAGAATTATAGGAAAGAGAATTTATGGACGTCATTGTCTTGATTACGAGAAGCACAACGCTCGATCTCGGCCTCATGTACTCCGAAACGTTGTGTTCCTCTTAATAAAGAAGCTGCCATCCATAAATTCTCTTCCTTGTGTGCATCACTTCTGAATGCCTTTCAATGATTAGAGTTATACTTATAAACAAATGGTTAGCACCTTTTTTGTACTATTGTTTTTTTACTGTTTGACACAGTATGAGGAAATATTGAGCAATCAACTTACGTGTTAATACTTTTCCGCGAAGCGGTGTGTGTTTGGGCGAATACGTTTACAACCAGGAACGGGTTTACGTTCACTCAACCGTCAAATCAATCAACGTGTAAACATTTCGAAATGTGAATTGATTCCTACCTCAGAAGTTTTAATATAAGTTCAAACATATATAAATACATCAGAGTTATAAGAAAGAGAATTTATGGACGTCATTGTCTTTAAGAGGAGCACGACGCTCGATCTCGGTCTCATTGTACACCTTCACCTGAAGCATGTACTCCGAAACGTTGTGCTCCTCATAACAAAGAAGCTGCCATCCATAAAATCTCTTCCTTGTGTGTATAACTTCTGAATGCCTTTCAATAATGAGAGTTATACTTATAAGCAAATGTGTTAATTATTTTTAGCATAACAGTATATACCAGTCAACACTTGCTAAGGACCGTCTTTTGTACCGAAGGTGACTGGTTTTTTTTCAATTTGATGCAGTTGTAAATATAGATCTATTACTCAACAATAAAAATAGTCATCAATAAAAGGTGTTGTTACCTGGGACAAAAGGAGGTACCCGGTACCCCTGCTTCAGGGCTTGGGCGGGTAACTCGGGTACTTGGGTCGGGTGGGTACAGAGTATAGAACCGACTCGTGTTTTGTCACGTGATATATTGTTGACTGACAAACAATATCTAAAACTCGTTGGTGACACTACAAATCACAAATGTTCGCATTTCTGACTATATAATCACGCATCCAAACTTTATGTTTGAATAAAGACAAAACTAATTGCGACAACTTCAGTGTATGCATGACCAGATCGTTTTACTTTTCCCAATCGCACAGTTTGTACCAATCTCTCAGCAACACCGCGTACCTGGACAGGATCGGGTAATTGTGGGTGGGTACCCGTGTAGTATCGGGAAACAGCGGGACGGGTACCCGGATAGGGTCTAGGGTCGGTAATAGGGGGATGGGTACCCGGGTAGGGTTGGGTAATACGGGGGTGGGTACCCTGGTAGCGTTGGTACCCGGGTAGGGTATGGGGTTTTGTTTGTAGATTAGCGCTGCACCCCAGATAGCATGCCATCATCGGCCCTGCATCGGCCCAACGTCAGCTACACCATTGGCCAAACGTCGGCAAACTGCATCGGCCCTGCATCGGCACTGCATCGGCCCAGCGTCGGCAAACATCGTCGGGCCGATGAAGTTTTGCTCATCGGATCGACATCGGCCCAATGTCTTAAATAGCTATCTGGCCACCCATCGGCCAGACATAGGCAACTGTTATCGAATCAGCATCGGATGGACATCGGCCCAACGTCGATAATAATCATCGGCACAGCATTGGGTTCACATTGGCTTAATTACAGGTTTAGAATCAGCCTTGTCCAACCTCAAGTCCTATCACCACCCAAGTATTAGTCATTCAGACTTCATCACCCTTTCTCTTCTTTGCTCATTTACAATGGCAGTTTGGGATGTTCAGTATTTTTATCTTTCATAATATTTGATGTCAGTTCTTGATTTTCTTTAAAATAAATACATTAAGTATGAAAAAAATGCCTAACATTTTGCAATAATCATTTAGAATTATCGATATCTTGAAAAATAGTCAAAAACATCCAAAGTTAAAACTAATGAAAAGTTAATAATTTTTCATCTGCCATTGTCTTAAATAGGCTGATGTCATCTAAAGTAGTTGCCTGCAGAAATCATTACTGACATCTCATCTTAACATTTCATGTAAATGATGCCAGAATAGAACTCTTTCAAGTGTAGAGTTAAAGTACAAAAAACTTAACATTCGTAAAAGCTGCAGCTAGCTCTGATGTTAGAGTTACAAAGATAAAAGGTAAAACTGAAAAAATACTGAATTTTTAAAAAGATAATTTGTTTATCATAGTTAATACTTTGAAAACCAACTGTAAGTAATATCAATACTTCTAGCTGTACAAAACAATCAAAATGCTTACACTTGTTACAGTACTATTTTTTATGTACCCTAATACATGTGTAGTTAATGCTTATAATTAAACACAAAGAGCAAAATAGAATAATAAACTTTATTATTAATTTATTATTATTTACAAGAAAACAGTGTTTCTACCTGCAACAAGGCGGATGTGAAACATTTATTCTCAAATCAAGTTTTAAAACTGAGTCTAAACATATACCCCTCATATTGGCCTGCAAAATTTCATTTATGTGGCTTCAAATTCGTTTACGAGACAAACTTTTCCCCCCCATTCCATCAAGTTAAAAAAGCATGAAGCAAAGGGTCATAACTCCATACAAATTAAGTTCTTAAAACCATCTTTTGGAGTTTGTACCTTAGTTAGCACGGACAGTTTCATTTATTAACTTCAGTAGTGTCCAAGAGAACCTGGGAGTATATGTACCAAGTTCAAAAACAAGGGACATAACCCTGTGAAAAATATGTTGTCAAAACCAACTTTTTGGATTTCTTTGTTCCGTTGCAATTCAGCTGTTTTGTTTGCAGATTCTCTATCTGCACCTGTTTTTTCCAGTACGCGTTTTCCTTATGCCATTTCTAAGCCTTGCTCCTGGAACTCGAAGCCATTCTTTTACATGGGTCACCATGTACTTGTCAGTGGCTTGTAAAGAGCCCAGCTGAAGGCTTCCTCCTCAGCTTCTGTTTACAGATGATAGCAAAAATGTCAGTGTGCATATTATAAGTCATTGGATGCACTCTGACATTTACAAGTAATGAACTTCACAAGTGTGTCAAAACAAGTTATTGATAACATAATGGAATAATTGAATAAGTAATACCCTGTTCACATGCGCCACCTTACATATGAGTGTATATATTATTTTAAGTCTTGACACCTGTTTATAAATACAGGGTTCACTCGAGGAATTTTCTGACATGGGCCCTTTATGTGACAATTTCATATATTCCCTAAGTACACCCGCACTTGCCCATACAGCACAATGTTAAAATGTCCAATTGTATTTGAAATTTTGGGCCTTTTTCCAAATTTAGGGGCTAAAAGCAGAAGGCCCCCACCCTAGAATTATCGGAATCCCTGTAAGTAAATTGATGAGTTTATAATATGTGTAAATAAGTAAATTGAATTATGTGTAATTATATATGCAAATAACATAACCCCTCCCAATATTGCATGGTGGGTCCCTAATCTGTTTCTTATGTCAATAAAAAAGATTTTATAACTGACATATCACCCTATTTATTTAGCCCAATAAACATCCCCAATAATCAAATGATAACCCCCTTCCACCAATCTTGCTGGAGAACAGTTTTAGGTGTGCAATCTCTCTTGTATGTCCATCAAAAGTAAGTCAGCATGAAATTTCATTTGGAAGATTACCATAGTGTCAGGGCCCTTGATAGGGCAAACATGATATTAAATTATATATATGCTTATAAATATTTCAATCAGAAACATGTATCAGTTGGTTTGGTTTGTTGTTTAACATTGTTTATGTCAGTAATATTCCAGCTATATGACGACGGTCTGTAAATAATCGAGTCTGGACAACACAATCCAGTGATTAATATATTGAGCATCGATCTAGGCAATTGGGATCGATGATAGGCATCAACCAAGTCAGCGAGCCTTACCTCCCGATCCCATTAGTCGCCTCATACGACAAGCATAGTCACCTTTCATGGCAAGCATGGGTTGCCTAAGACCTATTCTACTCCGGATCTTCAATATGTATCAAACTTGGAGTAAATTTCCCATACTTCATACATTTAAAGAAATTTAATCCACTCACCAGTGCTATCTCAGTTGCTCGATTTTGGAAAAAACTGCTAAGAGTTCATTCAGCTCATCCATGTTTGCCAACAGGCAATGGCTGAATGTCTGGTTTTCTTAAATAGAAATATAAGAATATTATGTATTAAGTTTGTGTAGCAGCAGTGAACACTTAGCTATGATGATGATGTCAAGAGGTTGAGGAGAATATTGCTCAAAACACAAAAGTAACATTTAAATAAAGCTTGGGCAATACACAGATATCAGGACCCCTCCTGAATTCATACATCTTATCTGGTATATTTGCACTTGTACATACAGTCCTTATCTGGAGCCATGCAGCAGAAATAATTTTCCAGGGAAAGTAGTTTCACTTTGATAGATATAGCCCCATCCATTAAAAAACAGTGAGAAAATCCCCATATTGACATAATATTGAACAGATCCTGTGAAGTCTGGTTACCACAAAACATATTTCATTTATTATATCAAACCATATATATGTTGATTAAATCATGGTAAACCAAAACTGCAAATAAACGTTTATCATTAAAAGATCAGATACAAAGGTATGTACATATTACAAACACTTCTATGCAAAAAATAGCAGGAAAGTATTGGGGACAAGTAATTTTATGCACAGTTTCATTGCTTGTAAACATAGGAAAGGGAAAATGATAAACTGAAATAATATATGTTTAGTTAGAATAAATCAAATTTGAAACAAGGCTCTGGGTGTTTTTCTACAATGGATAATGTCCTGAAACATCTGTACTGCAGTATCTATTCTTCCTCAAAGTTTTACCATTAATTTGAATTTTGATTAAATAAATGACATGTTGAATTGTCTTGCAATATATATTTAGCATCAATTACCTTTTAGATAGTAATTTAAAAAAAATATTTTATTCGTATTTCATAAGCTGCTATATTTAGAATTTTGTTCGAAGTTGAGTTACTTTGATGAAGGCAGCAGTTATTCTTAAAACTCTCAATACAGCCGAATACGCGAAAATAGGTTTATTCTCTTCTGCAATCATTTGTTATAATTTTCAGTGTGTTGTAGATGTAATTAATAAGGGACAATATATAAAAAAATAATTAAATCGGACCTCACCCTACTTCAATCAGCGGTATACATAACTACGCAGTTACTTCCCTTCGGACATGTTTCACAAACACAACAGTATTTGTTTTTTTAACAATCCAGCAACAATCCTCTTAATTTGGGGCAGTAAATGCAAGAATGTTGTATTGGAGAATATATTTATGACTTTGGGGTATTTTTTGCGTTGACAAACTATGATATGTGTTTAAAGTTTTAAAAATACCAAAATAACTGTCAGGCTGAACCATTTTACATTGTCAATGTCATGTGTTTGTGACTGAAACATGTTTATTATCATTAAAGAACGTAGTTTTAACGTAGGTAGGATGAACAATTATGATGTCTTATATGTGTGTTACAATAAATAAATAACTGTATGTTTTAATTCATGTAAAGTACAGTGAAATATTGAACACCAATGTGAATCATGGGGGATGGGGTCGTGGAAATTGGATGATTGGAAGAATCTTCTTGATACTTACAGAAAATTGAGAGATTGTGAATCTGTAACATCAACTTATGCTCATTGTTTGTCAGAAAATAATAAGGTTGCACAGTGGCTTCATGATCATTTTGAGTGTGAACCTTGTGAGAGAAACATTTCTTCGAGAGAAACATTGCATCACTTTTTTCAATTCAGCAGTTCTAGTAGTAGTTGTGGATCAGGTTCCTTTTCATTGCTGAGATCAAGATCCAGAAACGTAGCACTGAAAATGAAAATAAAGTTTGGAAAATAAGCAGTGAAGTTTGAAAACGTTCCCATTACTTGAACAGTTGCAACTTAATGACAGCATGAAAGCACAGCTTGATGTGAGTGTAGCTCCGACTAAATTTCAAACAAATTTGTTAGTATTTGAAATTCACAAATTGCCCCCGGAAACAGTCAAATGTTTGCTACGTCGGTTGGATAGGTTTTTAATGTTCCCCAACAGCTTAATTTTAATGTATTAATGAGTACGTTTCAACGAATACAGCAAGAAGATAAAAAGAAGAAAGGACAAGTTAAGGAAAATAAATAGCTGAGCATTTCATTGTGCCAGTACAAACTCCTGAGAGAACGAGGTCAGATTTATGGCATTGCAAGGCCTTGGACATGAAGTTAATAGCCTGAAGGATGAAGTAAGCAAACTAAAAACACAAATTCAAAACAAGAAAGAAAAATGATATCTCTAGAAAGGGAACATTACCATTTAAAAAGAAAATTAAAAAGAGCCACTGATGAATTTGTTGTAAAGAGACAGAAATTGGAAACTCTTAAGCCAAATATGAGTGGAAAATATTTCAGCCTTAACAGGAGATAAAAGAGTGCCCATGCTCAAACTAAAACCAGCCTTGCCAAAAATGCTTCAAAAGTCAAGAAAAATGGGATAGAATTTGAATACATCCAACAAGAGCTGAAATATTCAAAGGCTTATAACGAAATGTCAACTGAAGCTTTGGAAGATTATATTTGCTCATTGGAAGAGGCAGCACAAAAAGAGAAAAGTATGAAAAATGACTTGGAGTACTGTGAAGAACTGTTGAAAGACAAAAGAAAGTTTAACAGGCACAGTTGATGCTGTACTAGATGCCTGTAAGCTCAGATGTGTCTTGAGTTATTAAGTTACCCCACAAAATTGACATTTTCGCCACATTTCAAAGTCATTTTTCTATTCCAGAAATTCAGTTTTGATGAATATTCAACAAAATTGGCCCTGGATTACTGCTGTTATGCTACTAAAATATTATGGTTTAATTCAAATAAACATTTTCTTAAAATGTTGCCCATTTTTATTTGTTGCCATTTTTTAGACCAAAATGAAATTTCTGGCTCTCCACGGTGGTGTCAACAAGAGCTTTTCTGAAAGTTAATCAGACAAGTGATATCCTAGGATATGTATTTCTGAAGGATTACTTAAGCTAAATAGCCGACGAGTTTCATTATTTATTTAAATGCTCCTTTTTTGATACCATATGAGATCACATTATATTCCAATTTATCTTTGTAAATGGCCGAATCTCGCAAAGTTCAAAGTTTTGTTTACCTCAAATTGCTTAATCGTGAAAAATATCTCCAGATTTATAAGAATTATTAATAATGCTGTCGCTATAATCTACAACTTACCAAGTGATCACTACAATTTATTGTTTATGTTATAACTTTATTTGTATAGTTCCTGTACCACCTATGGTGGTTTGTTCGAATAAAACATGGATTGATTGCTAACACAATATGCAAAATTCTAAATTTGACTGAGCATTGCTACTTTCATACTATCATAAAAAAATCAAATCATATATCAACCTATGTCAGCGAACCTGACTACCAGATGCCGTGGTAGTGTCCGGGAAAAGGGGGTGTGGGGAGGGGGTGTTACCCGGGTAGGTTAACAGCCGGATGGATACCCAAGTAGGGTCGGATCATTGTGTGTGTGTGTTGGGTTCACCAAGGTAGCTTTTGGTAGCTTTAGGGGAAAGCGGGTGGGTTCCCTGGGTAGGGTCACGTATTAAAGGGGGGGGGGGGGGTTACCCTAGTGGGTGAGACCCTCGTGTCCTGGTATGTGGAAATATTGACCAATTAACTTCCGTGTTAATACTTTTCCGCGAAGCGGTGTGTGTTTGGGCGAATACGTTTACAAACAGAAACGGGTTCAAGTTCATTCAATCGTTAAATCAATAAACGTGGAAACATTTCGAAATTTAAATTGATTCCTACCTCAGAAGTTTTAATATAAGTTTAAACATATATTAATACATCAGGGTTATAAGAAAGTGAATTTGTGTACCTCGTTGTCTTTATTAAGGGGAGAACAACGCTCGATCTCGGTCTCATGGCCCCACTTGATGTTTGAACAAAGACAAAACTAATTGAGACAACTTCCGTGTATGCATGACCAGATCGTTTTACTTTTCCCAATCGCAGAGTTTGTACCAATCTTTCAGCAACACCGCGTACCTGGACAGGATCGGGTAATTGGGGGTGGGTACCCGTGTAGTGTCGGGAAACAGCGTGATGGGTAGTCCCGGATAGGGTCGGGTTTTGCTTGTTGTTTAACGCTGCACTCAGCAATTTTTCAGCCATAAGGCGTCTGTCTGCCAATCCAGTGATTGATATCATGAGCATCGATCCACGCAATATGGGATAAGATGATTTGCAGCATCCGAGTCTCACCACCCGATCCCGTGGTAGGGTCGGGTCATTGGGAGTGTGTGTGTGTGCGAGGGGGTGGGGGGTGGCATCCCAGGTGGGGTCGGGAAATAGCGGGGTGGGTACCCGGGTAGTGTCAAGTATAAACAGGGTTCGGTGCCCAGATGGGTACCCAGGTGGGATCGGGAAATAGCGGGGTTGGTACCCGGGTAGTGTCAAGTATAAACAGGGTTCGGTGCCCAGATGGGTACCCGGGGTAGGGAAGGGTCGTGTATCGATCGAGGTAGTATATATTTGGACTCGTCCAAGCCCTAATCTGCTCCCTGCGCGCCACCCCAGCAGGATGTACGTCGTCACTTCAGCTACTGATGGTTGTGCACAATACCAGCCAGTATTAGTGAGTGAGTGAGTATGGTTTTACGCCGCTTTAAGCAATATTCCAGCAATATCACGGCGGGGGACACCAGAAATGGGCTTCACACATTGTACCCATGTCGGGAATCGAACCCAGGTCTTCGGCGTGACGAGCGAACGCTTTAACCACTAGGCTACCCGACCCCCCCCCCCCCAGCCATTATTAAAAAATGCTCATCAACGAGTCACACGGGGCACACTTTATAACACTATATTAACCTATTGGCCAGTAGAAATGTTGAAAATACAATACCAGTTATCACCATTTTTCGTGTTATTTCTGAAACTTTCCGTGTTTGAATAGAGAATCTCACCCGAGTGTCTTTTGATATCAAATATATCAACACGAGTTGATTAAAGTGGAAAAATTCCGAGGCTTGCCGAGGATTTTGGCCACTTTTATCAACTTAGTTGATATATTTGATATCAAAAGACACAAGGGTGAGATTTTATTTATCATCCAACATCACTCTTCCAGCTTTTTCAATTTGTAGACAGTAATTAGCAGTGTCTTCAGTGTAAAAAGTATTGCTAACAGCTTCAGTAGCAGAGCCATTAGTGACGTCATTTGATTGTGACGTCATGGTAACCAGTGACGTCACAATGGTCTGGAAAGCATTGTGATGTAATTTCATTGCAGCGATAACTACAGTTTATTACTTGCCCGTGAAGAGATCACCCGTTTAATAAACATACAGCTGTATTACACATTGTGTAATACCAAAACGCGTGCTTGTGTACTCTCGGAACACGTTTCACGAACAAATATTGAAAGCTCTCAACATCTCTTGGCTTATTCAAAGACATTGCGTGTGGAGTTGATAGATCACTGAGAGGAGCTTATGCACACTCGATGACCCCAGCAACCTTGTTGCTTGGGTGACGTCACATGGCATTGTTTCGCAGATGGGTCTTGCAACAAAATTCCACAAATTACGTCATCGGGTATTGTGACGTTATTGTAAAGTTTGAGGTACAAGGCCCGTTCCACAAGGCGATTGTATTGTAGCGCAACGACAGTCGTTAGTCTAAGTTAAAGTATGTGAGTTGCGATAGTCTTAGCCCTACGATAATTTTGTGAATTCTAAAGGTGGACCGTAGTATGGTATTAAATTCATACCTTTCAACTTTTGACGTGTTTGAAGTATTATTCTGTTAAACTCAATTGGACTATGCCGTGGATCGTGTAGGTGTCAGCTAGCCTATTCATACTCAACAGTATAATTCTAAAAACGTTGTAAATGGCAAGTAATAAATAAAATACTAAACGAGCTCCCGTGTAATACCAATTTTATGAAACGAGTGAATAGTTCTGGCCTCGGAATTTTTCCACTTTAATTAACTCGTGTTGATATATTTCATATCAAAAGACACAAGGGTGAGATTTTATTTATCATCCAACATCATTCTTCCAGCTTTTTCAATTTGTAGACAGTAATTAGCAGTGTCTTCAGTGTAAAAAGTATTTGCGTCATGGTAACCAGTGACGTCACAATGGTCTGGAAAGCACTGTGATGTAATTTCATTGCAGCGATAACTACAGTAAAGATATCGCTTGATCTCATCCAAGCGATATCTCCTGTGGGAGCCAGTTTTGGATGATAAAGTTGACTGAAACTATAACTTTGGTTTTAATAAAGCCATGTGTCCGTGGAGAGAAAAAATGAGTTAATTTCTGTTTTTACGCGACGAGAGGGAATCGGAACAGTGGATGTAATGCGAGTCAGCTCGTTAAAGTCACATCAGCAATGTTTCAGCCATAATCGTGACTGAAACAAGTTATATACATATTAAATACAGTAAACTACGTATATAACGAACACGCTCGTAACGAACTGACCGATGTAACGCCCTTATTTTTAGTTTCGGCCATTTGTTGCATATATGCTGTATATATGCTTACAACGAACTACTATTACGAACTAAAATTAGTGGTCCCTCAGTTTGTTATAACCATAGTGTTACTGTACATCAATTTCGACAATAGAATACCTGTCGTGAAAGGTTGGTTGGTTGGTTTGTTTGTTGTTTAACGGCGCACTCAGCAACATTCCAGCTATATGACGGCGGTCTGTAAATAATCTAGTCGGGAGCAGACAATCCAGTGATTAATATCATGAGCATCGATCCACGAAATTGGGATTTACGACATGCATCAACCAAGTCAGCGAGCCTGACCACCCGATCTCGTTAGTTGCCTTTTACGACAAGCATAGTCACCTTTTACGGTTGCTGAAGACCTATTCTACCCCGGAATCTTCACGGGTCTGTCGACAAAGGACAGTAAGACAGTAAAACAACTAGACTATCACAGATATGGATGTAAAACTAGTGTCTGACCATAAATAAATGACTTCACAACAACACATTGTGAGTGAGTTGGGTTTGACGCCGCTTTTTACAGTACTACAGTTATATCGCGGCGTATCAGGTTAATGTGGGAGGACCACTAAGACACCACATTACGCCTTAGACGACTGGGCCATCCGCGCCCCCGGGTACAGAAATAGGATATTAGAGATGATGGCATGTGGAAACTGAAGACTCTGTTGAAGACCTGAGGGTAAGGCTCCAATAAACGGGGGCACGGGTCTAAGGCGCCGCGATTCGCTGTGCAGAGTTGCGTCCCTTGGGCACAAACCAGAAACCTATGATTGATGCGAAGCCCGGTTCGCTCCGATTATGTTTCTAGGTTTGTCAGAACCATATCCGTGCTCGTGGGTTTCACCGATGTGGTAAACGTTTGAGACCTGCATCACTTCGGGCTTTCCTCCCACATTAAGCTGACACGCCGTGATATGACTGGAATAATGTTAAAGGCGGCGTTAAACCCAACTCACTAACTCCAATAACCAATATTTGTCAAGTGTCTGCATCGGTCTGAGACATTAAATTCACGGATAAATTCTTCCGATGTTGGTTGGTTTGATATCAATCACTGGATTGTCTGATCGAGCCTCGATTATTCACAGACCGAAGTCATATAGCAGGAATATTGCTGAGTGCGGCGTTCAACAACAAACCAACCAATCATTGGTTGAATCATGATTTGTTT